AGCACTACTCGAAGCACGGGTAATACTCGTACCGATTGATAGCTAAACTTAGCATTAGCAGTGCGACACCGCAAACAACATCCAAGCTTCACTTTTCGCCATGACGCAAACACACTTTCGAAGCAGCTTGTAAAGACTGTTATCCGACTTGCCTTCTATCCAGCTTAATATCCCTTGGGCTTGATAAATAGACCTTGCACAATTATCGCGCCCGACAAGAGAAGAGCGGGATTCAATTGACGCACCAAATCAGTTTTCCCATCGCCTCGATTTCAATTGCACCGCTACAGTCACGACATTAATTTACACTCACTATTATGAGCGAATCGAACGAATTGCAACGCAAGTTGGATTTGAATCTGCTTCTTGCAGAGTTTCCTACATTAAATATCAATGACGATCCGCGCGAAACTGAATCTCCTACAAGCGACACGGGCAAATCTTCCTCAACGGAGTCATTGGCGGAATACGCAAAGGAGGACGACGACGACATTGACATTAATGAGACGCCAGGCATTGGAGACTTTGTCGAGATTACTTCAAAAAAGGACGAAGAAAAGTACCAAGGCATATACGGGTACATCGAAGCGAAAACGAAGAAGGGATTTCGTGTCGCTCTTGACACTTGCGAAACTGCGGACTACCGCACCATTGACAACGAATCCCTTGTTATTGGCGCCGACGACATGATGGTCATTCGCAAGCACAAGAAACATGAGTTTTTGCCTATTTGGGCCTTTCGTTCTCTTACCGTCGCGTGCTATGGAGCCATGACGAAGGACTATGTTGATGGCGAAAGTGTCGACTTATTTGATTCAGACTTGGCCGCTGGTATACTGCCCCGGCCTCTCATCAAGAGCTTGCCACTTCCACCGCTGGATTCTCCGTTATTTTCTTTTGAAGACGACGCCCAGAAACACTTGTACCTGTTATTCTGGACAGGCCAATACACGGTTCTTTTTTCGCATCACTTTCACGACGAAACTGGCAAAGCTTGTATTGCTATGCCTTCCAACCAAGTGCTGATGATGGCAGTCGAAGATTCAGTGACCAAGAAGTCAGCAGGAATCATCTCTTTTCATTACGACATCAAAAGGAAGGGCACCCACGCGACTCTGACTATCAGCACACACTTGTACAACGGGACAGTTTGGGCCATGACGACGGAGCAAAACTCAGCGCTCCAGGCACGTACGGCGCATTTGCTAGTGCGATCGGCTGGTTGTTCGCTTGGGTTTCGCAACGTTTGCGCCTTGGCGGCATGCGCCATCCAGTGGTACGAAGACAATGGCCGGCACGACGAAAAGAATGACGTATTGATTGCAGTGGCAGACATTGCGATTCTCACGGGACAATCCGATGTTTGCGTTGGTTTATGCTTTCGAAAGGTGATCATGGGCTTGAACGACCTCCAAGCATATGATATGATTATTGGTGTCTCGCAGCAGGTTCTGGATGATTATGCCTGCGGAGCTGATATGGTTTGGTTTACCCGTGCCATTGGCGTGGGTCATTTGCTGAACGGTGAGTCTGAAAGGGCGTCGGAGGCATTATGGTTGGCGATGCAGCTCTACTTTGAGCACTTTGGTCGCAAGGTCACCAAAAACGAGTTGTTTCAAGACTTGGCCACGGATATGACGCACTTGTACTACCGCAAGAAGCAAAACGGGAAACTGGCTACGGAGTCGATGGACGTCCCTGTTCTTCTAGGGGCCTGCTGCGAGACAGCCTTCCAAATGGGAATGGCTCGCAATACGCTTGAACCGGCGGCGACCAAGTTTCACTTTCGCAATGATGCAAAAAAGGCGCTCTTTGCGGCACTTGCTACCGCGGCAGCCTTTGTTTGCGAAAAGGAGCGCGACAACCAGTTTCTCGCCTCGGTGCTCCAATGGAAGGGCAAGGATTTCTTGTCGGGATATTTTACCGACTTGCATCTCTTTTTGTCAATTGTGCGAGACGCTTATACGTCGTCGTTCGAAAATGTTGGTTTGGCAATGCTCACATACTGCGCCCAGCCCTGCCAGAATCCCACTTGCGAAGGCTGTGAGACTGCCAAGCTCAAGTGCACCCGATGCAAGCAAGCTTGGTACTGCTGTAAGGATTGCCAGGTGAGCCATTGGAAGGACCACAAGAGCGGTTGTGCGAAAGGAAAGAAGGAATGAGACAAAGACATATTTTTTAACGCATGCAGCAAATTAGTGATCGAATTTCATGATTAAGGAGCATATATACGACGACATAGAAAAAGGTAGTAAACATGCAAAACTAACACAAACCTATGTCCTGTCCAATCACTCATTTGTATCCATCGCCTCCATGTTGCCCCCTCCTTCGACATCCATGTCAGTCGTGCTTGAGCTCTTGCTCAATTTCGAAACTTGTTGTTTGATGGCACGATAAAGCTCCACTGGCCGCTTGAACTGCAACTCGTTCATCTCCTTTCGTACAGCATCGAGTTCGCTTTGGCGCCAACCGGAATTCTCCTTGGCTAACATCTTTTCAATTGAAACTCCGCCATTGACTTTGGGACAGTCCGTCGCCATTTTCAGCATGATAACAATGTCGTTCCATTCAAATGGAACATTATGCTCTGTATCTCCAAACGTTGAGCTTGCCGTGTAGAATTGATATTCTGATGTTTCGCCGTCGCCGGCCATTTCTTGCTCCAGCTCGGTCATCTCTGCAACAATGGCTTCCGTCGTGCTGATACGGGTCATGGTTTCAATAATCAAGAATTCAAATGCGTCTGCTGACCCCGAAATGTTTTGCGACACTTGTACGAGATCGTGCAAGGCAGGAATCTCCGTTTGAAAAAATGGATTGCCATTGTGAACCTGCAAACGAGGTCCGCGAATGACTGGATCACTCAGAAACGTTGCAAAGCTTGGTCGAAGAGCTTCGTTCGCCGACGAGACGACATTGCTGTGTGAATTGACTCGGACAAAACCGATTTGAATGTCATGCTGGCCATTGATTTGGAGATTGACGATGAGATCGGCTGCAACATTATCCGGAGCAGCATCGACACGGAGTATACGGATTCCGAAAAGAGCCTGGTGAATGTCAAAGACAGTCTGGCAAAGGTCTCGGGCTCGTTTCAAAGCGTTGTGTGGCTCTAAAATCGCCTCGTTTTGCTTTTGCAGCGCAGCAAGTTGCGCCTCTTCGTCAAGCGGTGAACCGTCTCCCAGGTTCACTAGCTTTTCCTTTTCCTGTAACGACTTGCTCAATTGATCATTCAGTCGACGTTTAGCGGCTAGCGTCGCTTTGAGCTCGGTCGCTTTTAGTTGCAAACGTTCCAATCGACGCTGCTCCTCCTCCATTTCATTCTCGTCCACCGGCACGACATTTTCCTGCTCCGAAACTGAGCCCAAAATGCCTCGGGCCGACATGTCATGCATGGTATCCTCCAAATCAGCTCGCTTTTGCATCAAGCTCTCATACTTGGCTTCAATAACGATTCGCGCTTGAGTTAAATCCTGAGTAATTTCCTTGACTTGCTCAATCAATTGCTGCTTTTGCTCATTCAATTGCATTCGAGCTTGCGGATCAACAGTCGGAACCTTATTTTCCTTGGCGAATTCAATGTACTTGATCAGGGTTTGCTCATTTACATACATGTCGCGATCCGCCTTGAACTGCGCAAGGACAGCAGCAGCCGAAACATTCATGGCTGAAGCCTCGGAAGCATCCTTGATCAGCCCTTCCGGCGGTTTAAACTGATCCAGCGCATCCAAACTTGCGCGAATGCGATCAAAGGTTGCGGAAGCCGTCGCCATGCTGCTTTCGTAAAGAGTTGTTGGGTATTGTTTGGGAGCGTTTGCTCTGACTTTTGACAACGAGGTGTGTGAATGGCAGCAAATCGTCCGTTCAAACCGCGAACCGCCAATGGCCGCATTCAAAACACGTTTTCGACATACGAAACTGAGAACCTTTATGACAACAAGTGTTTAGCTATGGTGTATACCAAAGTAGGTTGTATTTTTCGATTTACTATTCTATACATTCGCGATGTGAATGAGTAGGATGAAAAGTAATAATGTAATCTATTTAGCATCTAACAATGCGGCCTGCGTCTGACGCAATCGTACATAGACTTCAAATGTACAACTCCAGGGCTCTCGCGTGTATTGTCAGTTTTACTTGAATTACATGATTACAACAAGCCCGCGGTACGAGATAGTTAAACGAGCAAACCAAACAAGCTATTTATGTATGTGTATATCATTCGTTTATAGGCGCAAGTTGACGCGTCGGTTAATGGTCGAACAGTCGAACATGATTGCGAATGGACATTGATGTGAGTGCATATCGCATGTCGGCACACCTTCTTATACCATGCCATGACCCATTTCGAGAAGTCAATATTCTATTTCCTTATTTTGTCCACACCAAGTCTACAAATGATCAGGATCTGACGACGTTAACGTCCATGCCGCCAGGCTTGCCGCCGTCTTCCCACTGCCAACATTGGTTAGATCGCTTGCATTCGTAGCGTACATCCAATTGTCTTGCTGTAACTCCTTTGTCAACCCACGCAGCGCGTCTAGCTTTTCCGATAGCAAGGCTTTTCGATTTCCGAGCGAGCACTGCTGGTGGTCTTGCTCGTCAAGCAAAAGGTGCATCTTATTGTTGCCACGGCCGATGGAGTCATATTGACCAAAGTTGCCTATAGCTGAAGCAGGTGTCGAGCTCATTATCGAGGGAGCAGCACAGTAGATATAATATGAGTAATCGAAGAGAGTGCAGCTCGTTGCAACATGCAACATGCGCCATTGTTAACGCAGCGTGAATCGAACAAAAAATATCGCATCGGTACTTGTACTGCCTATTCGTAGTACGGTGCGTCGTTTGGGTTGCAATGGATGGCAAACTCCTACAGGAAAGAGTTGATGTACTCATCACTGCGAGCTGTGCGACGTATGAAAGTAGTTGTAAAAAGTATGATTGTGATGAGCTAAAAGCATATTATTTGTTTGTAAACCGAGAGAACAAAACGAAAGTGCATCATCCGTGAATCGAACACGGGGCCCGACGATGGCAACGTCGGATTTTACCACTAAACCAATGATGCTTGTGCTTCAAAGGAAGGCAAATTTATACCTGACCACTAAAAACATGTCAAAAATCCCGCCATTTACTCTCTTTACACAGCGAATGGGTCCAGTTTCGACAATGGCTGCCTTGTCACTGCAAGTCAATGCAGCAACAAGAGTGACTGCGCTGTCGCTGCGATCAATTGCGGCCGCGAAGAGACAATGCTTGCTTGAGCACTGCGAGCGCATGTATCATATTTCAACGATGCGAATTGCAATGCGATCGACTCGAAGGTTGAGCGACTGGCCGGTGTCTTTTTATGCAGGGAATGTATGTCGATAGTGGCTCACTCAGAGAGCGACTTTGACTAATTCGGACCTCCTACCAATGGCATCGGCTCGAAACCGTAGCTAATTACCGTCGAATATTGGCATGGCTTGACTTTTCGCGGACAACAATAATGCACACTTTCTAAAAATGAAACTTTTGTACCTGGCAATACTTCGTTTTATAATCGTTTACCGGTAAACAAGACTCTTGTGTCTGAGGATGTAAACACGAGCAGCTCAACAAACAATACCCCACAATGCCAGCTAATTCAGTTTTTTGCCAGCGCGAGCAAGAGGATCAATCTGAGACTGTCGGTCCAGCAGGTAAAAGATGCGAGCAGCACTCTTTTCCACTTCCTTCCGATCACTCATATCCTGAAATGCTGCGCCGAGCCCAAACAATCCAAAGAGAATGGAAAATTGAGCCACCAAGAAGTCCTTAAGATCGTATTTGTCCGGAAAAGTAAAGAGAAGGTAGCCCCCAAAGAACATTTGCAAGCCGTTGATCCACTGCTGCACAAACATGGATAGGCCGTTCGCCAATCCACCCATGAACGCCTCCTTTCTATAGTTCGCCTCGTCAAATGATAGAGCACGTTCATAGTCGTTGTAGCGTCGATTCTCAAGCGTAAGGGCAGCGACCGTGCGAATGTTCAATAATGTCTCAACAATAATGCCTCCAGGAGAATTCAGCTCATCAGCAATATTATTACTGGCAGCTTCGTCCGTTCCCATCATACGAGAATGCTGAACCGAGACTGCCGCTGCCATGACGGGAACGCAACCAATAGCCAGCAACGCAAATTGCCACATGTAGAATAGCGAGAGAACTATACCAGTGACGATTGCGGCCATGGCAATGATAAACGATCTGACAGGCTCGCCACTAAATGCCTGAATTCGCGCAGCATCATCTTGGAGCTGCGAAGTTATGCTACCGACACTGCGCTTGTCGAAGTATGCAGGCTCTTGTCGCATCAATGCTAGAAAACCAGCATCTCGAATTCTTTTGCTCAAACGCTCGCTTGCAGTACCGAACCCCCAGAAGGTTAACATATTGCCCATGAGGCAGCCAACAACGCACAAGATAACCCAGAAGCTTGCCACGATGAAGCTTCTGTGACGCATGTACTCCGCCTCCGTATCCCAGTAAGCCTCGCAGCTGGGCTCATTATTTGGGATAAATGCGTCGCTGCAAGGCGAGACTGGCCGAAACAGCAAGTCAATCGTCTGAGCGAATAGAATTCCCCTGCGTGTGCAACCGCAAGTGAGCTTAGTATCGATTCTATTTCACCACTACACCGCTGCAGAGTAACTGATACGTACCACATCGGAAAGACTCCACCGGCACACACAGCACCAATGCTGCCGAGCAACAGATACATGGCATCCGGACGGGCCATGGCTCGAGCGCGCTTAGCGCTAAATGTGCCGGAATCTTCCTCAACTTCTATCTTTGTTTCGATCTCTTCCTCAGCTCCTTTCTTAACATCCTTGGTTTTAACATCCACCTTGCTCGCGCGCAAACCAACAGAATCGACAGTCGAGCTTCTCTTAGACGAATCAAACAAGCGACGGTAACGACCATCAGGTATCTTGATCAACTCATCGTGGGAACCTTGCTCCCAAACCTTGCCATCCGAAATAAAGGCAATCGTGTCAGCGTTTCTGATGGTGCTAAGTCTATGAGCAATCACAATGCACGTGTGATCTGTCGACGCCATCAAACGATCAATTGCCTCCTGCACGATACCCTCTGACGCGGAGTCAAGTGCACTAAACGAGAAAAAGCGTTAAATATCGTGTATTAAGCACAAGGGAACAAACAAACTTTACATCGAACATACCTCGTCGCTTCATCGAGAATAAGTACTTTTGGCTTGCGGACAAGAGCACGCGCAATAGCGACGCGCTGACGTTGACCACCTTTCAGACAAATTTAACGGCAAGTGCAAACAATGGGTAAGATAAGAAGCAGAAATAATAAATGACGACATCCGTATATACTTACCGCTTAACTGTGTGCCTCTGGCGCCGACCGGGGTATCGTAGCCTTCTGGGAAGGACGAAATGAAGTCATGACAATTGGCGTTTCTTGCAGCCTCTTCAATCTCCTTCCGAGAAACCCCGCCGTCGATACCGAAAGCAATGTTTTCTGCGATAGTCATGTTAAACAGAGTAGGCTCTTGACCAACATACGCAAGCTGAGAACGATACCAGCCAACATTTAGTGCCTTCAAATCCGTGCCGAGATACTCAATGACACCTTCAGAGGGGTCATAAAACCGCTCCACTAACCCGACAGTCGTCGATTTCCCGCCTCCTGATGGACCCACGAGGGCTACGGTTTCACCTTGTCGGATCTTTAGATTGAAGTGATCAAAGATAGTCTTTTGTGGTCGCGAAGGGTACGAAAAGCAGACGTCGCGAAACTCAATGTGGATGGGAGCATCAGCAGCCACCTTTGGAACCATTGGCAAGCCACTGGCTTCAAGATCCACCGTGGAAACGTCTCTTGAAATAGGAGCAGACTTAGGTTCAGAGTCCTTTCCGTCTTGCTTTTCCACCAGACGACGGTAATACGTCTCTCCATCCATAAGGACATCGTGCGTGCCCTGCTCAACAACGCGACCACCCACAACCACAAAAATGCGGTTAGCGTTGCGGATCGTGCTGAGACGATGCGCAATGATAATAGTCGTAAGCTTCTTCTTTTGTATAATATTATCCAGCGCGTCTTGGACAACGAGCTCACTTTCTGCGGGAAAGCAAGAGAGCCAGGAGCGTAAGAAACATGTTATACATGTAAACTAAGCATGACCACACAATCTCTGCAAAGCATGTAAACGGTATAACAAAGCATCACACATATTCTCTACAAGCATTACTTACCAGAATCCAAGGCCGAGGTACTTTCATCCAGCAATAAAATCTTTGGGCGGCCGACAAGGATTCTCGCAATAGCAATTCGCTGCTTCTGTCCTCTGTTTCCGTACATATTGTGAGTTAGCCTTCGACAAACAAAGAATAATGACAACAATCGAGCAGAAGCTTACCCACTCAGCTGACTACCCTTGTCTCCAACCTGCGTCTCGTATCCATCGCTAAAATTGCTAATGAAATCGTGTGCATTCGCAAGACGACAAGCTTCTTCAATCTCCGCATCAGTGGCGCGAGGGTTACCGTAACGAATGTTGGCCTTGATGGTGGTCGCAAACTGTAGAGCATCGAGCAATGGTTGAGTGCAATCGTTGCCGAGCAAGACACGGAGTTATAATCACTCAGTTAACTCACCAATGCAGGCTCTTGTCCAACATATCCAATCCGACTACGTAAATGGCGAACGTTAATGTCCTTCAAGTCCACGCCATCGAGAGTAATGCTTCCAGAAAGAGGATCATAAAAGCGCTGTGTGTAGCAAAGCAGACATAAGAAATAAGTTATTGCACGCTCATGAGATCAGAATGTAACGCCAGACGAAAACATACCTCAAGCATGGCGACAATGCTGTGGTCAAACAAATGAGATATGGGGTGTCAAAAAAGTCAGTCAACTTGTCTGCAATCATCCAGCACAGCACCCCGGAAAGCACTACGCATCCAAACCATATACTCACGTGCTCTTTCCTCCACCGCTCGGACCTACAAACGCAACAGTCTGTCCCGGTTCAATGTCCAACGTCATGCCATTCAAGACGGGGTCGTCCGGACGCGTCGGATACGTAAAATGAACGTCACGCAGCTTGATTGCTCCACTGACTGGCGGCTTTAGTCCTTCGCGCGACGATGAATCGATCTGATACTCTGGCAAAATGGCCGTGACTGTATTTAGGGCAGCTTCGACATCGTCATCGCCATCCTTGGAAGCATTGGACTTGCGCGATCTCGTCGTGGAGCCAAGCGCATCATGTACCGGCCGGTGAACAATCAACTGCGGCGCACCAGGCTTGCGGTTAATGGCCAGCAAAGCTTCGGCGACGGCTGTACGAGCATGCGCCAAGGCTTCCGTAAAGTTACCAACCTGCGAAACGCCTTGGGCGGCGAACGCCACACCCAGCATGGCGCCAAAGACGTCAGAGCCCGATGTTTTGCACGCCGTCGCGCCAGGCACAGCTCCCGATGGATCGCAACCGTTTTCTTCCACGTTATTGTATAAAATCGAAGTTCCGTAGAGCGTCAAGATGCAGTAAAGCAAGAGAAAGGATCCAAGCATTGCTCCATTGGCAAAGCCTTGCTTAATGAGAATGCGCACAGAGCTTTTAAAAGCTTCCTGCGTTGCCTCCTTGTATTGGTTGACCATTTGCTGGATACCATTCAAACTTAAGACGGTCTTGACCGCCGAAACGGACGAGTAAGCAATGCCTCCAGCAAGCTTGTAACTCTCCGAAGCATTGTGTCCCTTCTTTTGGTTGAGCGACATGACCATGAGCGCCGCAAGCGAAGCAAAGGGAACGGCGCAAATGACAACTAGCGCAACTTGCCAAGACGCGTAAAAGGCGTAACCAATACCTCCAACACCCGTTGTAAAGAATTGAATGCCCTCTCCGAACTTGCGTCCGACGCCCCGACGAAACTTGCCGGCATTGCTTCCCACTTGCCCAGCCACGCCGCCAACATCGTACACGTCAAAAAAGCTTGCATCCTGCCGCAGCAACGCCCGAAACCACTTTAGACGAAAGTTTTGCGAAGCATGAAAGGCCACAATTTCA